CCTAAAAATGATTAATTAAATAGATTTACAGCTCAAAGCATGCACAAGTTTTAACAGAACTATTTAAGTGCTTTTTATAAAATTGTGTCACATTTCTGCTTTTAAATCCTCCAAAAATGTGTCCCATTTACTTCCATTGTAAATGCCTCAAAACGGAAGTAAATATGCTCAGTTTAAAAAGGATTTAAAACACTGTAACCTTGATTTTTTTTTTCCACAAGTGAGTTGAAATATTTATTTATTTTTGTGGTAATCAACACAAATGTTCCTTTAAGAAAACTAAAACAGAATGTTGAAATTCAAAGAGTTCTAAAAGAATGTGCATTTGATACCTTTCACATGAAGATCTCTGGACTTCATCTAACAATTTAATCTGGGTGGAGGGCCTGAAGTCCAGACACTGAAAGACAAGAGCAGAGAAATGCTGGTACAAAAGGTTATACAATCATAACGGTGAGTGTGATCCAGTCAATCAGCCTTCATAACTTTAATACTCTAATACTGCTGTTCGCACAACTGGGTGTGTATACATTGAATATCAGATCATGATGACCTGCTAATTGCTCAATGCTCTCCAGTGGAGATGAAATATCAAACCATTACACTAATCCAAAATGTTTGTTGTCTCTGGAAATTACGGGATTTTTAAGGTGAGAGGAAATGAGTTATAGTATTTTGGAAATGTGACACGGCTCATTTAGGATGTTCAAAACCACCAAGCGGGCCCTGACCTGTCTAGCTACCCGCTAATTTACATCTCTCTCCTTCACTTGCACACATCTATTGCTCCTCCTGGATGGGGCACAGGGGTGCTGGGGCGAGAGAAGGGGGGTGGAGAAGCATGCAGTGCTGGCGCTTGTTGGCTGACCCGGGTGTCTGCGGTTATATCGTGGTCAGAGGAGGAGGGGAAACGGGCGGTGTTTCTGAAATCCCTGTGAAATGTTCATTTTGGAACGACTTGTTGCTTACATACCTCTCTCACACCCTCTCTTCTATTTTGAAATGTTTAAATATGGCCTAATATTGCTCAGCACCCCTTTTAGGTTTAACAGAAATCTCATTTTTAAGGGATGCACTAAGTAAGTGTTTGTTTAGGTTTAGCTGGTACTTATTTGCCAAGATAGTATCAGTGGTTTTACACTTTATACTGACACCTGTTGGTTTGGATGCATGAGCTTTGTTTGCTAACTACTGCTGCTTGTTTGCTTATCATTGCATTCCTGTTCATATGTTTTTCTCTACCTTACACTACACATATCCATATGATGGATATTCTAGATTTGATCACAACACATTTTCATGGTTGACATCATACCATATTTGCGGGTTGTACTGCGTTGTTTGTTTTATCACTCCGGTAGGGGCTCCCTGCTAAAAAAAACAAACAAAAAAAAAACAGCTAAAACCAGCTGGTTGGCTGGTCTTAGCTGGTTTAAGCTGGAAGCTGGTTTTAGCTGGTCTCCCAGCCTGGCTAGGCTGGTCAAGCTGGTTTTAGCTCCCAGACTGACCAGCTAAAGAAGTGGTCAAAAACCCTCTAAAACCAGCCTGCTGACCAGATATAACCAGGCTGGATGACCAGCTAAAACCAGCTAACCAAGGCTGGTTTTGCGGGGGGTTTTTTTAGCAGGGCTGCTGGTTATAGAGGATTTGTGTGTATGTTTGGTTTTTACTGTTTTGTTTAAATGTATTTTTTTTTTCATGCAAAAAGCCTTAATAAGTGCATTAAGTAATATTTGTATTATTAGTAACCGGGTCAGCTGAATGACACGGCAATGTGATGCCAACATGGCGGCGACCATGAGGGGGCGCCCCGCTCCATGTACTGGCATGTACATGGAATGTAGATTAAAACCGCTTTTTTTCTCAAAGACTGACAGAACTTGAATCTTTATCGCACGTGGTATTTCTCAAAACACTGTTTAACGTTTTAATTAGCAAACTAACGACTGAATGCAGCGGGACGTCCAGACTTCCCGAACCCTTTCCGTTTAATACAAGGTCACTCGGTTTATGTAAGCAGTTTTAAAGTGCTGAAAGTTTTGAATTCGGTTACTGCTGGACGGTCGACCCGCTTCTCTTCCATCGCCCCACCTTGGTGATGATAAGTGAGCTAGAAACATCGTCCCATCATCATCCCTGCCCCTGCGCGCAGTGCACCCCGCCCATCTCCGTTCCACTTCAGCTGCGCTTCCTTCTCATTCAGCAAACGCACTGTCCTGTGGCGAGAGAGGGGTCCTTTCCACCCCACAGCCAAACAAAAGAAGCCTGGAAAAGGAGAAAATCTAGCAAAGACTTCTTAAAGGGCAGGAGGACCCCTGAATTCTGCGTTTTTGTGGGAAGACAGCAGCGTTCTGGAGCATACTGCAGGAAGGAACACTGGGAAGCTTTTTAATATCCATCTGTTGTCAGTGTGTCATGTGGAGTGTGGGGTCACACAGGAGGATGACCTGTTTTTCACCTGTCGTTCTCCAGCATACAGCTGAACAGGTTTGCTTGCGAGAAGACTCTCCCTGAACAATCCTCCAACACGCGCTCAGATGCTCACCTGGGTCTGTGTCCGGGTTTGGCTCCAGTTTTTAAAACCATCGCCTCAAAGATCTCACTGTCCGGGGTGATAGAAGCGCTGGAGCGATGCAGTCCATGCTGTCCTCTGCTGTCGTGCTGTAAGTTTCGCGTGTAATTGTTCAGTATGAGTTGAAGGCTGTTTTGTAGCGAGTCTCCATCTACTGATGGGTCCACCGTTTTGTCCAGCTTGAGCATTTGTTGTGTTTCCCATCTCTGGGTCAGACGATAGCCTCAGCAGATGCTGGGTTCTCATAATAACACATCCCACCCAGTGTCTTCTCAGATAACAGCAGCATGCACACTGATAATGAGACTTTCTAGGACTGAATCCTGTTTAGACTGTAGGGTAGAAGTCCTGTGTTGGTCAATAAGCATGTCTGAAATGAATAAAAAGAGAGTTAATGCTTAAAAATGCTACTCTTTGCTAAAAAAATTTTTTTTTAAACTAACCATAAATGAAAAAAGTATTTACATTTTGCAAAACTATTAAAGTTTAAAAATATATTTTTAGTCATGAATATCACAAATATTGGTTTCGTCCATTTAACCTGTAAAAATGTGTTTTAAAAGTTAATATATTTGATTTTTTTTAACCTAATACTGATAGCACACAGTCATGAGGGTCTAAAGGGGTCCCCTCTGTTTTATGGTTTTCTTGACACATGATAACAAAATGGCTTCCTGCATGTTAGTTACACCACAGTGACTTTAATTATGTGGCCAGATGTGTTTCAATATTTTAATAACAATTTAAAATAAAAATTATTCACTTATATTTTGTTAATGTTATAATTGTTCAATATAACATTATACTAAACTACTTATGCAAAAATGTCTGTCTTCAATAATTTCAGATTTTTTTAAGAAACGCTTTTTTCCCGCTTTTTATGATCTTCAGACAGTTACACCAAGACATTATTGCGTTAAGCCCCAGAAAAAAAGATCAAAGTGATTTGAATTCAGAAATTGACAGCATGTTCATCACAGGTGTATTTTATGCCATTGTATATATGATTAACTTTTAAACTTTTTAAAATATATTTCTTGGATTTTGAAGCCTGTGATGCACTATGATGCCTGGCTGACATCATTTAGGAAAGGAGAGTGAGTGAGGTTGGTTGGCATATGTATAAAGTATTATTAACAATTCATAGCAGATCTGAACATTGATCTTTAAATACATGCAGACACTCACATTTGGTGTTAGTTTGAGTTAAAATAAACATTTTCATCTTTTCTTTCTACCTCTTATAACTGTAGCCAACCAAACCTAAAATAATATCATGAATTTAAAAAAGGGAAATATTTTGTAATACTGAGTGCCTTTTTCACCTAAGGACTTAAGCTTTCATTTGCACCTATTATAATTGGCTTTTTCTTAGCATTTGATGCACAAGAGATATTCAACAAAAAATGAAAAGTGTGCCATCCAACCTCAGTCTCCGCTACAAAGGTTAGAAACGCCACTAGAGCAGATGCAAATGTCACACAATCACATGTGTCTTTTCTATTTCTCTTTGGCCAGATGCTTCCAGGTCGTGTTACTGTTCTATGGCCCATTACAGGTGCTTACAGTATGCATGTGTTACCAATAATAAAACCATATATCAATTGATAGTTCATAAATCAATAAAAGTGATTAAAAATACACATATGTAAAATTGTTTATAAAATATATAAAAAAATACACACACACACACACATATATATATATATATATATATATATATATATATATATATATATAAATAAATTGAACAGCATTTCTGTATAAATAACAGACAAAAAAAAACGTTTTCTTTATTCTATTTATAAATATTTAGAGAAATAAATAATGCATATACTGCAAGAACGGTTGTAAAATAAATGAATTAATATACAGTATGTACATACACAATGCAAATAAACTAATTTTGCTATATATTTATTTTATATATAACCATTATATATATATATATATATAATGTATATATTATACTGTCTTTTTACGTGTTGCATCGCGCCGCGTAAACATAAAACCATGTCTGCATTTGTGATCGGAGAAATGACAAACAACAAGCGCTACTCTACACTGCTCAAAACTCGCGTTTGAAT